CCCTCCATTTCCACTTTGCTTCCAGCTACCACAGCTGGGTGATGGTGGCCACTTCTGCAGTGGGTCCTTTATAATGTCCCTTTATGTGTCTGTCTGTGATTCATCTTTAGAGAAACCTAAAAGAAACCCAGATAAACACACTCAGACAAAATAAATCCTCCTGGAAGTTCTTAACATGTTTGTGACAGGATTTTGAAGGGTTACAAAGACTTCTGAGGAATGAGAGTAGCCAAAAGGATAACTGCTTTCCCTTTCTTCTCTCATGCATGTCAAAGCTCCATTTGGTTTTGAGTATTAAACTTAATTGTCATAACTTAGCACCTGAAAATGCATCTGTAAATGAGTCAACCCATTGTCAGCAAAACCATTGACTTTGGAGAGTTAAATGCATTTCCCACTGCAAGTGTCAGAGATATGGAAAGATATAAGAGAACCAGAGAAGGAAGGAACACACTCTCTCCAATGATGTAATTCAGCTGCAGGAGGGAAGCTTGGCCCCTGGTCTTTCCTCTTCCCCGTCCCCCACAGCTGAATGAGATCCTTCATTTCCCTGCAGCAACTGGGAATTCTCTATTGCCAGGGAAAGAATGAGTCAGAAAAGCTGCTGCTGGTGACAGCTTCACTGGCCTTTGCTCAACAGAGGCTTCACCACTTGTGTTGCAGTGTTTGGGTTGTTAATCGTTGTTATAAGTGCCTGGTATCACCACTACCATTCTGGCTTGTAAAAGAGCTTTTTGCTTGCCATTTATTTTAAGACTTTCTGAACAAGCTCTCTTTGTGGGAGACATTTTAGGTATGCTCTTAAAAATGAAATAGAGCAAGCTAGTAAAAATGAAAATGCATCTCAATTAGATTATTCTTCCTCCATCTGCTCTCTCAGATCTTTTGATGACAGGAAATTGCCTATTGGATTTTTGATTTTGCTTAATGGAAATGGCAAAACCTAAATCCATTCCCATTCCTCCTGACATCAGGAGAAAGGAGGTTTGATGGCTGAAGAGAACTCTTTTTTTCAAAGCCATTAGTGTCTGCTACTGCCTCTCAGTGAATGCGGTAATTGTAGCATCAGTGAATTTAAATTAACTGAAATACTTACAAAACTGCAGCCTGGCACTGACACTCCTGAACCTCCCTTCTGAAATCCCCACTTCTTTAATTAGCCATTTCTGGTGTGCCTCATTCTTCATACTTGGAATTATACCCAGCAAACTCCTCACATGAGTTAGGGCAACAGATTGCAACTGCATGGGGTTTCTAAAGGTAATGAGCTGGAGAAAACTTTTCCTTGCATTTTAGGATGCTGGACTTCAGGAATTCAAACTCTTCCATCCAAAGGAGTGCTATTTTCAAAACTGAAATGAATCCAATCCACTTCTGGATTTCTCCCTGTGCTTCCTCTCAGAGGATGGATAAAAGCAGGTCCTTCCCGCTGACTCATTCTGCTCTATAAACTGGATTTGAGGTTTGAGAATAAAGGCATTAGCCTGCCTTGTTAAAAAGCTATTTACCTGTGAGCTTACAGTTCAGCATTGCCAGAATAACTACTGCAGTGTGCTGCTGTTGTGATTAGTAAGAATAATGGTAAACATACCTCACAGCATGAATGAGAGCATAGAGGCAGGAATTATCACTCTCTGCAATCGCAAACCTCCTCAGCAGAATTCTCTAATGGTAGGTGGAAATACGAGAGTTTTATAAAATAGAGAATAAAATCTGTAGTGGGAATTAATTACATGCTTGGAAAAGCTTCCAAGTTGCTGTGTTGTCCGGTCCTTCTCCTGCCATCTCATCTCTTTGAATCACTTTTGGCCTGCCCTGCTGCTGACAGGCAGGGTATGGTGTAGGAATCTGTCTCTCTTCCACTCCTCACCCACATTAAGCAGTTGCTAATTGTATCGGGACATTCATGACTTTGGGAAATGAGGGCACTGTGTGCCTCAGAGAGGCAAGTCTGGAGCTGCTGGAAGGGTTTTATCAGTCCATGCTTCCATGCCTTGAGAACTTTGGAGGCAAACAGAACCTGCTTCTTATTAAACAGTTTCAGGCACGGGTTTGGTGGGGTTTATTTTTATTCCTTCCTTTGTTACACACCATGCTCTTCCCTGAGAATAATTTATTAACACAAAGTAGAATTACTAAACATTGTGATTTTGGTCTTGCTTAAATATTAGCTATCCCAGGTGAGGTTTATACAGATTATGTGGTTACACGATGGTACTGGGCTCCTGAACTGGAGTTAGAAGACCCACACAGGGGAAATATATATGGTTGTTTTGCTGTGTGGGGGGTGGCACCTGTAATTCAGCTGATAGAGGAGAAGCAGTCTTCTGCACGTGAATCTCTGCACACAATGCAACCGTAGCAAAGGAAAATACTCCTGGAAAAACTAAATTAAAATGGTGACGTATAATGTGCCTAATACAAGGTCAAAGATACCGTTAGGTTCTGGTTCCAGATTCAGGGAAAGCAGAGCAAGGTTTATCTCTAAATACAGCACTGTTATTGTATAAACCAAACAGACAACTCATACTCATCTCTATGGCAGTCTATGTTATTGCCAGGTAGCCTGTGCCCATCTGCCCTGCAGGCATTTTCCATCCTGTTCCCATCAAAACTGGCCAGCAGTGCTGGCACTGGGCCCCTGTGGTCACTGGTGACAAGGGTTGGCTGAAGAGCTCCTAAGGAGCAGGGCAAGAAAAGTTTGTGTCAGAAGGGAGCTTAAAGCTCCTCCAGCTCCAGCCCCTGCCATGGGCAGGGACCCCTTCCACTGGAGCAGCTTGCTCCAAGCCCCTGTGTCCAACCTGGCCTTGAGCACTGCCAGGGATGGGGCAGCCACAGCTTCTCTGGGCACCCTGTGCCAGCGCCTCAGCACCCTCACAGGGAAGAGCTTCTGCCTAAGAGCTCAGCTCAGTCTCCCCTCGGGCAGGTTCAAGCCATTCCCCTTGGCCTGGCCCTACAGGCCCTTGTCCGAAGCTCCTCTCCAACTTGCCTGTAGCCCCGTTAGGCGTTGAAAGCTGCTCTAAGGTCTCCCCTTAAGGACCCTTCCCTTCTCCAAGCCCACCTTCAAACCCATGTCATTTAGAATGAAAACAGCAAACACGGCCCCACCTTCCTGAAAAAAACGTGTGACCGGCGCGGCCGGGCGGGCTCCGGGCGTCTGCGTTATCGCACCGGGCCGCGAACGGTTAATGGTGCTTTGGAAAACAGCCCCGCCTAAGGCGCGCCGGGCTCGGGGGCTGCGGAGGGGCAGCCCCCAAGATCCGGTGCTCCGTGCGGCCAGCGCTGCGCAGCGGGCCCGGCGCGGCTCCGCAGGACAAAGCGGGCCGGGCACCGGGGCCATGCTCAGCCCCGCACCGGGAGCCCCACTTCCGCCTGGTCCGCTAGGCCCTACTGCCATGGCAACGGGCGGGGCAGGGGCGCGGTGACGTCAGACGCACGGGTGGGCGGGGCTCCGATTCGCTTCGAAAGGGCGCTCCCCGGTGGCGATCCCGGGTCGTGGCTGTGTCCGTTCTGACCTCGGTAGCGGAGCCTTTGGGTCCGGGGAGCAAGGCCTCAGGTAGCGGAGGGCGTTCAGCAGCGCCGGGCCGGTGGAAGGGAAGCTGCTGCCCCCGGAGGCGGAGCCGCCGTGTCCCTGCGCAGGTGTCTGCAGAAATGAATGAACACGTACATAAAGTGAGGGAATTAATGTGGATTCCTGACGATTCCTGAAGCAGGGGGGTCAGGGGCTCGGGAAGGTGGGGTTGGAGTCGGGGTACATGGAAGTTACACCCTGAGTATGCTGTGGGGGTTCAGAGGCTGCTTCCAACTGTGTGGGTTAAATCAGCTCCTGAATTCTCTTACTGTGGCTCCACTTACATGTGCCTATATAGAACCTAAGGATGCAGTCATTTATTTCCACACGACCTTGTGGATTATCTTTGATCCCGAGTGCTTTGGGAAGAAGGATCCTGTCCTTAGGAGCATCATAGCAGAGTTTACCTCTCCCACTCCCATCGTGTGCTCCTCAGTGGCTGCTGCAATGAATGACAACAAACCCCATTTCTAACAGGTGACTTGGCCTATTCATTTCCCTGATTTTGGAATCCTGGCTCTCCCTTCCAAGGTGTTCACTCCCCCACTCAGTCTGGGGTCATCTACAAACCAGGGTGCACTTGATGCCATAATCCAGATGCCTTGAACAGTGTTGGGCCCAGCTTTGATCCCTGGGGACCGCATGTGTGATGGGAGCATCAGTGGGATGTAAATGAAAACACGTGTATGATGGGAGGAGGAAGATCCAGAAGAGAGGATCATTTCGTGGCAACCATTCCTCCCTAGTGTGGGGAATGGTGTTTCAGTGTGAGGGAATGAGTTTCTAATTGCCCAGCCTCTTGGAATAGCTTGGTCCCTGCAGGATCAGGCGTGATTGTGTGTTCCTGCCCTCGTATCTCACTGAGGTGGGACACAGGAGCGTTGAGAGCCCAAGTCCTCGCGGCAGATCCCGACCTGTTTTGAGGCACCACTTCCAAGCAGTGCCCTCTGGTCAGGGGCTATCCCAGTAACCCGGCTGCAGCCCGTGCTTGGCACAGACTTCATCCGGCAGCAGTGAGACAAGCTTTGTGCTATATTAAACCCCAGCACACGGATTGCCGGCGGCAAGAGGATGAAGACGACGTTTATTTCTGTCCCTTCATTATGAGTCCCGTGGGGTTTTGACCTCCTTAAAATCGTCTCGGAGAGAAGCAAGGAGACACGTGGAATCGCGTCCAAATCTCCACCGAGGAATCAGGCCATGGCTTCAGAGAGACCTGCCCCGTCTGCGGCGATAATGGGGCTGAAAACGGTGCATTGCTTCCCGCTAACGAGCTGCACCCGGCAGCCTCCCATAGGGACACCGTCCTGGAGCCGAGCGCAGCCGCTCCTCCTCTCAGCGCGGAGGTAGCGCCTCCCCTCGAGCCGCGGTGGGCCGGCCCGGCTCCGGTTCCACTTCCCCCCCCCCCCCCCGCCGCCGCGATATGGGCCGGCCCAGCGGCACTTCCCGGCCCGCCCCCCGCGAAGGGAGCCGCCATTGCGGGTTGTTTGTGCGGCCGGCGGAGGGAGGCGGCGCCGCGGCCGCGGACTCGGACTCGTTCCCCGCGGCCATCATGTCTACCCCGGCGCGGCGGAGGCTGATGCGCGACTTCAAGAGGTGAGCGGGACCCCGGTGCCATTGGCCGGGGCCAGGGCCAGGGCCAGCGCCGTCCTGCTTGCTGGCCCGAGTCCCTTCCCCGCACCGCCGGGGCTTCCCCGGTCGTCCCCGCGGGCAGCGGCACAGCGAGGAGCCGCAGCCGCAGCGCTGTGTCCCGGACCGCCCGTCCGGCCTGGCTCCTTCGTGCTGAGGCCGGGGGCTGGCACCGAGCCCCCGTCCTCCCCGGGCCCACCCTCCGCGGCGGGGCAGGGGCGCGGTGCGGGCCGGCCGCTGGGCCCGTTCCCCGCAGGGAAGCGGCCCCCGGGTACGGGCAGGGGGGTCCGGCCGGGCAGGGCCGGCTTTGTTCGCGTTGGGCTCCGCGGTGCCGACGGCTGGGGGCGTCTGAGGATAAAAGTTGAACGGCGCCTTCAGAACAAGGGCAGGCGGCCCTGAGCGGGGCTCTCGGGGTACCCCCATAGGGCCCGGCGGTGCGGAGGTGGGCGCCGTGCTCCTTGCAGCCGCCTCCTCGCACAGGGGGCCCGGTGCTGGGCCCGGGTTTGTGCGGGGCCCGGGCAGGGCTGAGGGGTTATTGGAGGCCTGTTGGGTTGAAGCCTCCCCGAAAGTAGGTATTTGGGGCGGGCAGCTGGAAACGAAGCACGAAGACGTGGTAAACACATCATTTGGTGCAAAACAAACACCCTTTAATGTGTTTATGCGCATGCTATATCGTCTGAAGCTTCAAGTTGGGAGGAATCGGGTCTAATATATACAGGCTGCTAAAGAAGCAGTTATTAGTTGTGCTCTTTTAAGTGTTAATGACCCAACCACAGACTCTGGGCTAATTAATTCCCAGCCTGACATGTAAACACATGTAGAGCGTGTGGGGAAAGGTTGGGGGGGTTCTCCTGTATCTGTACAGCATGGTGTACTGCACCGGGCCACCCGGTTGTTGGAGGTGAGTCAGCTTTGATATCACATCTTTTTTTAGCATAGCTGTTATACCAGCACCTGAAAATACATGGGTAAACAGTTGACATGTGTTGTGGTTGCTTCATGGGATTGCAGGCAGAGCCCCAGTGATGGAGCTTTGAGTTGTGGACCTACAAGAAGTTGGATGCTTTGGGGATGTGGGGCCTTCACCTTGGGTCTGGGTGTCGGTGTTTGCTGAGCGGGTGTTGCTGGGCTCCTGCTCAGCCCAAACCAGGATGTTCATCTGGTTGAGTGTGTTATGTTACACCGATGACGTGAACAGGGATTTTGTGCCAGGGCCAGGGACTAAGTCGCTTCACGAGATTGCAATCAGATGTGGGGGGGGATGAGTTTATGATTTTGGCAGGATTGGTTTAATCTTGCAATTGAGGGTGTGGAGGAGACTGCAGCTGTGGAGAGCCCAGCCCAGTAACCAGAGCAAATCAAAGTGACTTAGTGAATATCTGACAGCTTCGATCCCCCAGAGCTTATGCAACTTCTTCATGTCAGGGTTTTGTGACTCCTCTCTTCCCTACCGTAAGCTGTGTATTGGTTCAGCCTCGTGTTACTTGTGCTTCATGCTGAAAAGCAAACCGTGTGAAGTCTGCTGCGCTTTGTTAGATGTAAACTTCTTTTGCATGCTGTGCTTGTCAGGAGCAGTGAAGAGATAAGAGTTCAACAAGTTTTATATCCCCTCTAACTTATTTGACTAAACCTACAGCAAAATCCATTACCTTTTTTACCATCATTGTTATTGCTGCTAATAGGGGGCCACAAATACTGCGTTTTCCCGAGCTGTTAAAGGTTTCCGAGCACTTTTTGGATCTTAACTCCCCATTTCCAGCCCTGGCCACAGCCTTTCTGCAGTTAGCCCTTCTGACAGCAGGGTGCACATGAGCTTTTCACTCGGGCTGAAACCCAAAGCCGTCCCTCAGATGTGTTTGTCAGGCTGAAGGCTTAGGCATTGCTGTTGGCAGGCAGCCTGGCTGTCAGGGAGGAAGAAGTCCCGTTCCTGCTCTCCCGGACCAAAATAGAAGGGGATTTATGCTGTTGGGACTGAGCTGTCCGAACTGTGTGTGCTTGGGGAGCCAGGATGTAAACACGGTGCTTAGATGGCATCTGAGCACAAACAGAGCGAGCCTTGCTTCTGGCTGTCACCACAGGGCAATGCCATTGCTTGGTGTCCACATCACATCCAGTTTTATCACAGTGCAAGTGCAGGACACCAGCATCAGCCCTGGATAAACCTGCACGTACACACTGATGTGAAGAGTTTGTCCCTTGGCCTGCAGGGCTGTTGGTGGTGCTGGTTCATAAGCGTACTACAGCCAAGCTCAGGTTAATGCTCCACAGTGGCTGTTGGAGCAAGGGCAGCCACTGTTTTCTATGTCCTCATCTGACTCAAGAGGAGCTGTCACTGAAGTCAAATTGCTCCATGGTTGGGGCTTGCTGGTTTGCACCATTCAGGGTCCTTGGTGTGCAGAAGGATCTGGATCCTATGCCTGTTGCGATGCATATTTCAGTGTGGCTTGCAGTAAATAGTGTGCTTCTCCCTAGTCCAGGGATTAAGGAGCTAAGAAGAATTTTAAAAGCTTCCATGGTTACTTCAGAGATAAACACATCATTGAGCTGGTGAGAGGGAGCTGGACACAAGTTTTCCCTTTGGAAGCAGTCAGCTTGCTGGTCCAAACAGCCTTATGTAGTACTGTAAATTCCAGCTCTGCGTGATGCTTTAATATTGCTTTGCTCCCTGCACACTTAACCTGTTGGGCTGTTGTAACATATTGGTGTATGTGTGTTGTAGGCTTGTCTTTTGGAGTGTTCATCATCTGCATGCGATGCTTTGTGTATTTTCTGATTTGGAATGAGAACGTATGTATTAAATCTGCATATTACTGTTCAGTTGTACTTGCAGGTGGAAGTATTTCGTTTATATAGAGCTTGTCATTCTGTATTTGTCATTCTTAGATTGCAAGAAGACCCTCCTGTGGGTGTCAGTGGTGCACCGTCTGAGAATAACATAATGCAATGGAATGCAGTTATATTTGGGTAAGAGCTTTTGATGACTCTAAAATTCTGTCTCAAAGGGCTGAAAGTACCAAACCCTGGAGGTTGTTTTTATGGTTCTTCACCTCTTTTATGTACATAAAGCCAGCAAACTTAATAAAATGACCGAGTGTGCTGCTGTGGTAAGAATCTGGCTTTGAGGGTATCACAGGATGTGTAAGAAAGAAAAATGTAGAATGTTTTCATCTTGTTCTGTTGACTTGCACATGGGTTAATAAATAGGTTAAGCTGTGTAGGAGGTGGGTTATGACAAAGCAGGATTCCTTTCTAAAGTACATAAGAACCGCCTGTTGTCAGCCATTAAATCCAGATGTGTTAGCAGGGATTGGATTGATTCCCAGGAGAAGGAGGAACAGGTTCTGTCTGGGAAGTTACATTGCATCCTGCAAAATGGGAATGGCCTTAGTATCCTTTCATGAAAACTAATGTTTTCTAGTAATTTCCTCATTAATTCCATCTAATGATGTAATGACATATGTATTGCTGGGGATGACAGAGGTACTCGCACATTGACTATGGGAAAGTGTCTTAGACACCACACAGTGCTCAGAGGTTGCCTCTGGATACTTTTCTAAATGTTCAAATCACTGCCTCTACCTATATGTTGGGGAGGATGAGGAAGATGGACATTGACTGTTGTTCTTTAGAAGCTGGTAATGATCATTTTGTAACCGGAGTTTATGTTTTAAACCTTTCAGGCCAGAAGGGACACCTTTCGAAGATGGTAAGCTGCTGTCTTCTGTATCCCTGTCATTCTTATAAATATGGCCAGTATTAACAAGTAAGAGATGTTATCTGTATATGGAACTAAGCAAGTGAAGGAGTAAGGCCTCACGGGTTATACAGATACGTATTTTGCTGTAAGTAGTGTCTTGCCGTAGTGGTTGCTGTTTAGTTAGCTGCAAAGCAATGCTTGTATTGAGACCTGTTTGTACATATACAGCAGAGCTTTTAGGGGGGGAAGCTGGTCTGCTGCTGCCAGATGTGTTTTCCATAACCAGGCTCAACAAGAGCTTCTCTGCTTCATCTTGGTGGCATGTTTGATTCGTCTCTGTTCTCCTAATGAAGAACAGGTGAAGAACCTTGAGCTGTTCTGAGTATAGCACTCAGTGAGGGGGAGGCAGTACTCAACTGGTACATAAACATGAAAGTTGGTGTGTAATGAACCTCCCTTAGGCACATGAGGAATAATGAGTCTAATAATTATAGTATTATTGCAGTAATTGGCAGCAGATGGGGTTGTCTCTGTGTTGGGTTGGAGGAGTTACAGTAAATTACTCACTGATCCATAATAGAGGTTTTCAGTGAATCAGTCGTGAGCTCCAAAGGCTGAGATTGCTGATGATGAAATTCCAGCGTTTCTTTGCTGGCACCACGGTGCCTTCTTAATGAAACACCTTAAAGTCACCAAAATCCATGCAAGCAGCATGTTCGGTCACGGAAGAAGGGGAGGGATAATTGCTATTGGATGTAGCTGCCTTTGCCATGTGTGCAGGGAGGCCCCCAGCTGCTGCTGAGTTTATGACTATCACTAAGTTGTAGTTCCATAGTTCCATCATCCCTTGAAACACATGGAAAGAAACCAGATTCTGTTGTTTGTTTCTATAATGGTTAGGAGGAATATTGATCATGGAGCACAGAACTTACGCTGTGTGTGTTCCTGGCAGTGTTCTTTTGTTGCTAGTTACCCGATTGTATTTCTGTTTGTATTTCAGGTACTTTTAAACTAGTAATAGAATTCTCAGAAGAATATCCCAACAAGCCTCCAACTGTTAGGTTTTTGTCAAAAATGTTCCATCCAAACGGTGAGTAAATACCTTTTATTTTGCCATAAGACTCATTAAATACTGTGGTGTGGTCGTGTAGTCCATGGAGCACCTGAATGCTTTAACAGCTCTCCGTTTCTCCTCACTGCCACCTCCCAAATGGATGGCTAGGACAGGATGAAGAATTAAGAGTTATGATGCTGTTAAGCAGCAGCTATCTGTCTCTTTCTAATCAATATTTAGCCACGGTAGCAAAGCCTGTGAGCATTTGGTTGGCTTAAAGAGGCAATTCTGGCTGCAGGTTCCTGCCCCTTCCATTAAACAGCCATCATGTATGTGCAGCCACATCATGAATCAGGGCAGGGCACTGATGCAGCCAGATGTCATTTATTTCTGTCAGCTGAGATTTCAACCAAGTCCATGCCTTCACTTGCTTCACTGTGCCAGCCAGTACTAGCACAGGGGAGAATGTGGGAGACCCATCTAACCTGGCCTTGAGCACTGCCAGGGATGGGGCAGCCACAGCTTCTCTGGGCACCCTGTGCCAGCGCCTCAGCACCCTCACAGGGAAGAGCTTCTGCCTAAGAGCTCAGCTCAGTCTCCCCTCGGGCAGGTTCAAGCCATTCCCCTTGGCCTGTCCCCACAGGCCCTTGTCCCAAGCCCCTCTCCAGGTTTCCTGCAGCCCCTTTAGGCACTGGAGCTGCTCTAAGGTCTCCCCTTCAGGAGCCTTCTCTTCTCCAGGCTGCCCCAGCCCAGCTCTCTCAGCCTGGCTCCAGAGCAGAGCTGCTCCAGCCCTCGCAGCATCTCCATGGCCTCCTATGGCCTCGTTCCAGCAGCTCCACATCCCTCTTGTGCTGTTGCCCCAGAGCTGGATCAGGGCTGCAGGAGGGGTCTCCCCAGAGCACAGCAGAGGGGGAGAATCCCCTCCCTCAGCTGCTGCTCACGCTCTGGGGGTGCAGCCCAGGATACAATTGCTTTTCCCAGCTGGAAGTACTTTGCTGGGTCATATTGAGCTTAATGACCAACACAGAAGTGGGTTTTCAGGCACACTCCTGTATTGTCTGCCTTGGAGTGTCTCTTAGAGTATGTGGTAAGAGGGTGAGAACTGCCACTGTTCAGTGCATGATGGCTGCAGTAAGCACATTGCTGCTCTTTGGGAGGCCTTTTCTCTGCAGCGCAGACCAGTCACACAAGAGGAGCATGAAACCAAGTCTGCCAGTTCCCATGCTAATGCCACGATCTTTAGACCTTCCTTTCCTCAGAAGTGTTCTGTTACTTCCAGTAATTCATCTCCTTCAACACACAAGGTGTCAAGCTACAGAAGGTTGTGACACAATTGCTGTCCTCTTCCCTAAAGCATCAATTTAAGCACAGTCTGAATTGGAACAATAGGTCTGCCTTGAACAGTGTGTAATGAACAACCTGTAACATAACTGTTTCTAAATGACACCTCTGTTGTACTTGCAGTGTATGCGGATGGTAGCATATGTTTAGATATTCTTCAGAATCGCTGGAGTCCAACATATGATGTTTCATCTATTTTGACTTCAATTCAGGTAACTTTGCATGTTTGAGCAAATAGTTCTGTTGTTGTTAGCATCTCTTCCAGACTGCACACACAGCTCAGTGGTGGGGCTAGCCAGGAATCTGCCTCAAGGGGGACTTCAGATACTTTGAGCTCAGCAGTAGCTTCTTAGTTGAGATAGAAAAGTTGAGGTGCCAACCTATGTAATTATTAATTTTGAGCTACACATTTGCCAGAATAATTTTTTTGCAGGAAAAAGTGATTTGGATTTCTTTTAACTGTTTTTAGTCAAGGCAGGACATCACATGTACAGACTTGCTTAGTGTTTGAAACACTGAGCTTTATCGTGGAGCCCTGTCCCATAAAGTCCTCAAGGAGGCAGTGCTGAAACGTGATTTACTTGGACTGGCCTGGCACAGCAGAAAGGTGTATTTCCTTATCTCCTCTGTGTTTGGTTTTATTTTTCTCCAGTGAGGTTTTGTAGGAGGCATCTAAAGTCCCTATTTAGTCCTGAATGACAATAGCAGTATAATTACCAAATAACCACTTAGCATCCTACTGCTCTCTGGCACAAATGACCACATATCCGTTAGGTTTATGAACCTGGAAGTGTTAATGCTTATGCAGTGTTTCATTTGAGGTTCAGTAACGTAATTACAAGTGCCTAACCATGAGTTCACCTTGGGTGTTTTTTCACTTGGGCTCTTCTGAGCCGTGTCTGCCCCCTGAAACATGTAGCATTTGAGAGCTGTGAATCTGTATTTGAAATGTCTCAGTTTGTCTCATGTTTTGTTTTCCCCTTTTCACAGTCTCTGCTTGATGAACCTAACCCCAACAGCCCAGCAAACAGCCAGGCAGCACAACTCTACCAGGAGAACAAACGGGAATATGAGAAAAGAGTTTCAGCTATCGTGGAACAAAGTTGGAATGATTCGTAACGGCCGCTTTGTTCCTCTCCCTCCTCGTAATCATGCACCGTTTAACTCTCAATAGAAAGGCCACCACAGATTTCAAGTGCCACAGTTCTAAGAATTCCCATCAAAACTCATTTTGCAACCAAAATCTAAGCCCTCCAGTTTAGGAAACTTTCGAGCTTGTGTATCTTGATTAACGTCCTTTTTATTGCATGGTCTGAACTAAGTTATTGCTGCATAAATTTGTAATATATCCTGTTTGTATTTTTTTTTCCAAGTGTATACTGTTGGTGTGGAGTTTTCATGACAGAATATACACATTTTGTAAATCTGTACTTTTTCAAATATTGAATGCCTTATTTTTGCATTCTTTAGATTTTTAAATTGGAGAAAAGCACTTAACGAAGTTTTTATATATAACTATTTCATGTACAACTGTTAAATACATAACCTTAGTGCAAGACCTTCTGCTCTCGCTCTCTATCTCTTCCAAAGGGCTCCTTTTCAGTCCACTCCATGCCTGATACCACTTTACAGAAGGTTAATCCACGATGTAGCTGTCTCCACTGGATGTCTGCTTCTGCACCAGAGCTTAACTTGATTCTGTGCATCCTCAGTTGTATGAGGAAAAGGAATTGGTAGCTGCCAGCTTATAGATAAGGAAATAGATGGAACTATTCTGCTCAAAGTCACACATTAAAGCAGTGCCAGAGGCACCTTGATGGCCAGGTTTGATGCTAATGTGTTCTAATAGCTTTTATTTTCCAGGGAGGTTGTATTTTGCTAAGTTGTAAAATGTTGTCATTTAAATCTGTCCCATATTCATGTCCTGATACTGTAGTATAGCTTTAAATGCCTTCTAATAATTAAAGAGGTGCCCCATTAGATTCCCTTAGGGATAGGGATAAATGAATCACCACCGGAAAAAAACAGGCCTGCAGGTTTAATGCAGTGATTCTTCAGAACGTGGCTGTGTACCCACATAGCCAGGTCTTGTGTCTGTATCAGAGCTTCCACATACTCTGAATTGCCATTTTAAAAAGGTTTGGGGTTGGTTTTGGAAGTGTCACTCTGGTAATTCCTTACTGTGTTCTGTAATCCAGGCTGGATTCTATAATAAAGAATTAGGCCTTATTCCCTCTGTCATCATTCCAACCAGCATTACACGTGTATCAAACCCCCAGATCCCACACCAAAATACAGCTCAGCGCTGCCTGAAAAGCAGTGGGAGTTTTATTTCAGCTGGAAGAGGAAACGATGCTGATTTGCAATAGTCATTACTAAAAGTCAGTGTCTGTTAATGCAGTGAACAGGAATATCAATTTATACCCTGCACCTGCTTGGGAAGTTGGTTTATAATTCATAGGAACAGCACTGTTAACTTTAGAAACAGCCACCAGAATACTCATCAAACCAGTCTGTTTAGTAGCCTGTGGAGGAAACCAAAGAACTGGTGGTGTGCGGAGCCTCAGAAGCATCAATGCAAAGGGCTGTGAACCTTGGTAAGGCAGTTTGTGTTCCTTGAGCTGCTGAACTGGTGTTTAAAAACTCTCTCATCTACATCTAATTATTAACAGGGACCCCAGAGGATCCAATCTGCCTGTTGGCTGTGGTGAAATTACAGCACCACCAGCAAAGCTGTTGCATGCCTTAAAGCAGTGGCAGTGCAGATTCTTGTTTAGAAATAGAATGGGGGAAAGCTCCTTCAGAACTGGGCTCAACTTTGAAGTTTGGGGGTGTTTTTGCATTTTGCCTCCTGTTGCAGTGTGTTTGTTCCTTTGATACGTGCATGAGACCAGATTTGCCAGTCATTAGAGTCTACGTTGATGTGATTACCAGCGGATGTAGCCTGGCTGTACGTGGATGATGCTCAGAACATGTTTCTGTGTACCTGAGGTGGAGGCAGTGAATGTCTGAGGACTGGAACTGGGGCAGGAGGTGCAGTCAGTGATCAGTGCTGCCAGCTCAGGGCACCAGGACCCACCATACCCAGGCCCATGAGTGTGTTTGGAGGAGTTGGAGCGTTCTCTGTTGCACAGGCGGGTTGGAGCCTGCAGTTAGGAGTTAAGGTGGGAAGTGTCCTGCTGCCCACGGAGGAAGGCAAGGACTGTATTCCCAGTGTACAGTGAGGAGGGATGTGCCCGTGTTTGACCATGTTAATGCTGTGTGATAGATGTGAACATCAGCATGCTGAGAATCCAGGGTTTGATGATGCCCATAGAGGAATTGGCATCTCTTGAGGGGGGAGTCCTGCAGCGTCCCATAGAGACCTGCAAGGGGTGGAAAACAGCGGTGCCTTCTGCAAGCCCTCCCAGAGCATACATTGGAAGTAATGACAGCACAGATTAAAGTCATAGCTTGCCGGTAGAAGCAGCGCGCTTGCCCGGCACAGGGGAGGCAGTTCACCGCTCATCCACGGCTCGGCTGCCCGCTCATGCCGGCCTGGAGCGCCCCGCTGGGCTCCGGCTGCTGATGCTCGGGGCTGGCTCCACTTCCCCGCGCTCCTTCCCCTTCGGGTCCGCTCAGGCGGAGCCCACCGGGGCCCGGACCCTTCCCGTGTGCGGCCCCGCTGGCGGCAGCAGAAGGCCCGGGCCGGAGGAGCGAGGCGGTGCCGCGCAGGCGCGCAGGGACCCGGTGCCCCGGCCCCTTGGTGCCTTAGCGCCCGCAGCGCTGGTTCGGCCCCCGGGTGCGAGGGTCCCGGAGCCGCCCGTAGGTGAAAGCAGGGGGAAGGAGCGTGCGTGAGGGGCAGCTCTAATGGAGGCGCTGCTGCTGCCCTCTTCGTGCTGGGGAGAGCAGGAGCCCGCATGGGGAAGGCTGTCAGGGTGCCCAGAGAAGCTGTGGCTGCCCCATCCCTGGCAGTGCTCAAGGCCAGGTTGGACACAGGGGCTTGGAGCAAGCTGCTCCAGTGGAAGGGGTCCCTGCCCGTGGCAGGGGTTGGAGCTGGGTGAGCTTTAAGGTCCCTTCCAACCCAGTCCTTGAGTCCATTAAATACAAGGGCAAGTTCAAGTCAGGGCAGCTCCCAGGCTCCCGGTGCGGCCCCGGTAAGCGCGGTGGTGCAGTTAACGTCTGCAGTAGTGCGCTGGGGTGCTTGATGTTGTAGTTAATTAATCAGGACCGCAGTGCACTGAGCTTGCGGGATGGGGGTAATTAAGGGAGGACTGATGGGTATGCGGATTTTGGGCTTGCAGCCGCTCACGGGGGGTTGACTCGTTGATATTCAACAGTTCCGAATCACTTCTTTTCAATGGGATCCCCCGAAGGTCTGAACTCGCTTTGGAGCCATCCTTAAATTACTCATCCCTGTGCTTGTGTGCAGACAGAGGCATCCGGTTTCGTGGAGCTCCAGGGGAAGCCGGTGGCAGGGCTATGAACAGGAGCCCTTCCTGGGGATTCCCAAGCCCACATTCCAAGCACAAGGATGCCTTCCCCTTAGTTTATCATGCTACCGTTCTTCCTTAAGAAGCATCAAACACTGCGCTGCTGCTGCTGCTTTCCTCAGATCTCTGTTCCCTGAAGATACCTCATCCCAGCACAGTCCCAAGCCACAAGCACGGGGCTCAGATCCTCACCAATGTGATTATCTCCCCGTCGGGATTCCTCACCGCCCTGCAGACAAATGTGTGTGATTGCAGACTCGAGGCCTTAGGCTGTGAGAAGTGAGGCAATCACAGCTTGAGGTGGTCTGGCTGTAGCTCTTTGTGGGAGGTTTTGTGTTAACAGTCCATGAATTCAGTGTGTCAAACAAACACAGCTTTAAACAGTCAGGGATTAGGGGGTCCCGCATGGAAAATTCATAGGAATGAAGGCAGATTCCCTCATCCCTACAGCAACATTCAGTTCCACGTCAAATAGGGAGGATAACTTAGATAGATAGATAGATAGATAGATAGATAGATAGATAGATAGATAGATAGATAGAAAGAAAGAAGATGGATGGATAGATAGAAGATAGATAGATAGATAGTAGATAGAAGATGGATAGATAGAAGATGTATAGAAAGATAGATAGATAGATAGATAGAAGATGGGTGGATAGATAGAAGATTGATAGAAAGATAGATAGATAATAGCAGATAGAAGATGGATAGATAAATAGAAGATAGAAGAACGATAGAAGATACATAGATGAATAGATACATAGATAGAAGATGGATAGATAGAAGATGGATGGATAGATAATAGTAGATAGAAGATGGATAGATAGAAGATAGATAAATACAAGATAGAAGAATGATAGAAGATACATAGATGAATAGATACATAGAAGATGGATAGATAGTAGATAGAAGATAGAAGATGGATGGATAGATAGATAGACAATAGTAGATAGAAGATGGATAGCTAGATAATAGTAGATAGATAGATAGAGCGATCCTTTGTGCTTGGCATGTCAAGGTTCCATGAGAAGAGCTGTTGATGTGTACAGACATGCCTGAGGAGAGGCAGAGCTGGCCGGCCGCCCCACCTGATGCTTCTGTTTGAGCGTTTTACTGCTTGTGGAAGCTGTCCCAGGCAGAGGCTAACCCGTGTTTGTTTAGAGCTGTGCTGCTGGAAGAGGAAAGGTGCCACCAGCAGGGAATCTGCTGGGAGGTGGGAGTTGGCAGCGCCGTCTCCTCCACCTCTCCTCTTGATGGGGCTCCACAGTGCCAGGAAGAAGGAGTTTGGCTGGAGTGTGGGTGGGAAATGGGTGACCAGAGCCTCCAGTGAGTGGCAGAGTGCATGAGCTCTGGGTCATGTATGTCACTGGATGAAACGTTACCTGATTGCATTTATCTCTCTAATGGGAGAGCCTCGACAGAGCAGGGAATGCTGTGCCTCTCCTGCAGGATGGGATTATTCTCCTGGAAAGGAAGAGCTGTGGGTTCAGAATTCCTCAGGGAAGGAATAAACTCAGCCTGTGCCTGCTGTGTAAGTGTAGAAAAGTAGGAGGGTGCCACCGCCTCCTGTGTTTTGAGCACGCTGGCTTTGGTCCATGAAGACCGAAAGAAGGATTTATGGCATACTCCTCTATGGAATATGTCCTGCTGCTGTGCTGGTGATGGCTTAGGGATCCTTCTTGGAATGGCTTGAACCTGCCCGAGGGGAGACTGAGCTGAGCTCTTAGGCAGAAGCTCTTCCCTGTGAGGGTGCTGAGGCGCTGGCACAGGGTGCCCAGAGAAGCTGTGGCTGCCCCATCCCTGGCAGTGCTCAAGGCCAGGTTGGACACAGGGGCTTGGAGCAAGCTGCTCCAGTGGAAGGGGTCCCTGCCCGGGGCAGGGGTTGGAGCTGGAGGAGCTTTAAGGTCCCTTCAACCCAAACCAGGCTGGGATTCTGTGATTCTTTAGAAATCTCTTCATATTAGAAGAAGAATGAGGTAAGAGGCAAAGGAAAAAGGAGTTAAATCTAAAGAGAACCCCATGAAAATATGTAGAACCAAAGAATAGAGCCATGGATCCCCCCTGTGCTGCTCTGCTCTTGCTGTGC